ATAATATTAATAATAATAATACAAATAATGATAATAATAATAATAATAATAATAATTTCTATTAGTAATAATAGTAGTAGTAATAATAATAATACTAATAATAATAATACAAAACGCCATAAGCATAAACCTTTGGCGCTCCGCGCCGATTTCTCGGATCTGCGCTGGGGCCCCCTCGGCGGCGCCTCCGTCGCCGCCCCTGGCGCGCTCCGCGCGCCAGGGAGGGGAGCCCGGGGCGGATCCAAGAAATCCGCACGGAGCGCCAAAAGTTGATGGTTATGTTTTTGTTCCTCCTCTAGCCGCGTCACTGAGGATCGAGGATCGAAGGTTCTTGCGTGTCTGTCCTCTTCGGAGCCTCCTGGCAGGCCCTCATGGCCACCACTGCTCTTCTTTCTCCGTCACGTCCTCAGGTCCCCCAGGATCGAGGATCGAGGCGTCTTAAGTTTCTGCCTTTTTTGGGGGAGGGGCTCCCGAGAGCCCCTCGTGGTCACGGATGCTCGCCCTCCTCCGCCACGTCCTCTGGGGTCGAGGCCCGTAGCCAGTTCTGACTCCAGGTGGCTCAAAGCGTGGGGGCGCATGCGCCGCTGAAGACCCCTTTACCTGCCCCGATGGAGCGCACCAGCTCCTCTGCCGCCGCTGCAGCCTCGCCCGCCGAGCGCCTCAGCGCCCTCGTCGCGAGCGGCAGGGTGACCGCGTTCCTGTTCCTCCGCCACTCGGCCAGGGGAACGAAAGAGGGCATGCGCAAGCACAAAAGCCCGGAGGTCCGCGCGGACTTCTTGGATCCGCGCTCGACCCCCCCCTCCCTGGCGCGCGGAGCGCGCCCGGGGCGGCGCCGGAGGCGCCGCCAGGGGGCCCCACAGCGCCGATCCGAGAAATCAGCGCGGGCCTCCGAGTTTTCCTGCTTGGGCCACTGTTCGTTCCCCCATCGGAGACCGCGAAGCGGGACGCCAGCCTCCCGCCGCTGGAGGCCGACCTCGCTCGCGTGCTGACGGCCGAGGGCGTGGAAAAGTGCCGCCGCGCCGGCGAGGAGCTCTTCGGGGGCGCGGGCGGCCCGGACGGCGCGCCGGGGTGGCTGGGCGCGCGGGGGGTGCCGTCCTGGGGCTCGGGTGAAGCTGTGATCCCAGACCCCCTCGCGTTGTGAAAAAAATCACGACGGATGATTTTTCCCTATGTTCGGCCTCCGGGGGCCCTTACCGTGCCTCGGGACCGTCAAAAAACGACTCGGGATGAAAAACCGGTCCCGGGGAAAGGGTCCAGACCTCTGTGGGTCGACGTTGTGAAAAAAATCACGACGTCGGGGGTCTGGGATTCGGTCGACTGCACGCAAGAGTTCAAGCAGTGGCGAAGCGTCCTGGCTCGTCCATAGCCCTACCGAACAATGTTCGAAGCACCTTGTGTGGTGCCCACGACATGTTCTTGGAGCGCTTCTGGTTGGGACTGTCTTGTTTTATCACATCGGGTTTATGTTCTGAGAACACTGCGTTTGTTCTTAGAGCATGTTTGGGTTCTACGAGCACTTCGTGGCAGGACTATAGGAATGCCGGGACGGTCGGTCCCTGCTCAAAGAGTGACCCTTCGCCGGAGTGGCCTCGAGTGCGGGCCCACTGGGGTGTCCCCCGATCGCCGAAGGCGATGGGGCAGCAGCGTCTTGCGCGCCGGCGTTTGGCCCCCCCGCGGCCCTGGAGAGGCCGCGCGCCAAGGGGTCGCTCTTGCGTGTGGTCGATCTGGCGATCTCGTGGGCCATGTTCGTTCTGACTTCATTTTGCGGCAGAGGCGGAACGAAGGCAGAACAAGGCAGCACGAAGCAGGCAGGGAAAAACACACAGACACAATGAATCGTCGATCTCCAGGAAAATATAGGAAAATATGCGAAGTGGGGGGGTGACAAAAAACCCAGAAAATATTAAAAAAAGGGAGTCCTGTTATTTGTATGTATTTTCCTATATCCTAAGATGGGGTTCTTGTTATTACTTGGACGCCTTCTACTCCTTCTTTTTATCCTTCTCCGCCCCTCTCCTCCTCATACCCAGACTTACTCATACACAGACTGATTCACACTCAGACTTACTCATACCCAGACTTACACACACAAAATTACTCAGACTCAGACCTACTCATACTCAGACCTACTCCTACTCAGACTGACTCATGGTGAGACTCACGCACGCCCCGTTCGCGGCCATTTTGTGGTGATGTCTCAAGCGGTTTGCCCGTTTTCTGTCCCAACATCCTTGGCTACCCGAGCAGATTGTGAGGATGTCTCGAGCGAGGCGCTCACTTTCACACCCCTAATGGGAGCCGCCAGGGGTTTATCTCACGGTCCCGTTCGGGCTGTTTTGTGGTGATGTCTCAAGCGGTTTGCCTGTTTTCTGTCCCAACATCCTTCGCTTTCGGAGCAGATTTGGAGGATGTCTCGAGCGAGGCGCTCATGTTCACCCCCCTAAGGGGAGCCGTCAGGGGTTATCTCACGGTCCCGTTCGCGGCCGTTTTGTGGGGATGT